TTAAAATTTGAATTCGGACCAGTAGAAACTAGGTCGAGTATGAAGCCTTCATAGCTGGTATGGTCCTCACTCTGGAAGTGGGTGCTTCAATAAAGTTGAAGAGTGATTCTCAACTGGTAGCCAATAAATTCGTCGAGGAATACTAGATAAAGGAGCCTTAACTCAAAAAATCTCCACAATATGCAGAATTTATATACACACTTCAAATCCTTTGAATTAAAGTATGTACCTAGGGACACAAATTTCAGAGCGAACCTTCTGTCGAAACTTGCCAGCACAAAGATAAAAGTGTACAATTGAACAATGATACAAGAGGACCTCACCTCCCCTAGACTCAGGTTAGATGTCGTCCATACCACACTATCTGGAGAAGGGTGAGCTCCCCTTTGAGGAGATGGAGGCGAAGAAGGTTCAGAAGTAGGCCGCCAAACATACTAATCTAGCAAGAAAAATTTACAAGATAGGAAAAGCCTCCTCTATTCTACGATTCCCAGGGGGCACGAAATCGTCTTAGTCCTTGCTGAGGTTCATCAAGGAGCATGCAGTAGCCATATTGGCGGTCGATTCCTCCAAAAGCTACTAAGGGTGGGCAACTATTCTCCCACCTTGATGAAAGACAAAATGTTATTTGTCAAGAAATGTGATTGATGCTAGAGACACGCCAATCTCCAGCCAAGCTCCTTCACTCTATGACATTGCGTTGGCTTTTTCACCGATGAGGTGTGGATATTCTGGGCCCTTTCCCTCTAACACTTGGGTAATTGAATTTTTTTAGTTGGAGTCGACTACTTCACAAAATGGATAGAATCATAGGTTATTGTAAAAATTATAGCAAAAATATCTCCCCACTTCTACTGGAATAAGATCATGTGCAGGTTTGGGATACCAGGCGTCATCATATCAGACAACAAAACCCAAAATTTGTAGTACCACACTTGACTTCTTTCACAAAAAGGGAGTACAATACAATTTCGTCTCCGCCGTCTATCCTTAAGCTAATGGGTAAGCGGAGTTAGAAAACAAGGTGATCTTAAAAGGGATCAAGAAGAAATTGGATGACACCAAAGGGACATCGGTTGAATTACTCCATAAAATATTATGGTCGTACCATACCATCTACATTCAACTATCAAGAGAACTCCTTTTACCATGGTATACGGGGCAGATGTTGTGTTATCCGTAGAGATCGAAACACCCTCATGTTAGCGTTCTCACTTTAACCAGGAAGTGAACAAGTTAGAGCTAAGGGGCGCTGCCAATTTAATCGACGAAATAATAGATATTTCCCACATCCGAGAGTTATCCGCAAAGCAAAAGGCATCCAAGTCCATAAGATATAACTCTAAGTTAATTCCAAGAAAAATAAATGAGGGTGACTTGATGCTAAAATAAATTTTTATGCCTGCTTAGCAGGGAAAATTGTAGCCCAATTATGAAAGACCATATCGAATATTCCAGAAGCTACCATAAGAAGTATATAAGTTGGAGGGGTTAGATGGGCGACTCATCCCTAGAACTTGGAACTCCGACCGCTTAAAATATTACTACCTCCGTTTCTTTTTATAAGAGACAACTCACTTTTTAGGTTCATTGAATAATCAATGTCTCTAGTCTATAAACTGACCAAATACATTAATTATTCAATGAACCTAAAAAATGAGTTGTCTCTTATATATAGGAACGAAGGTAGTATTATAATTTAGTTATTTTTGAAGTGTTAGACAGGTGTATTACCCACCTATGTATATGTTTATGAATATTTATGAGCAAGAAAAATATTTTGGTTTCCCTGATAAGTAAGTTGGACTTCCACAGTAAGATCCTTGCCATGTTTTAAGGAAATACATGAATGATGAACTTCCACATGAATATCATTTCCACCTCTTAAGGAAATACATGAATGTTGGACTTCCACAGGATGATCCTTGTCACCTCTTAAGGAAATACGAGAATTCCAAATTTCCATAAGACAATCCATGTCGCCTCTTAAGGCAACATATGAACATTGCACCCCCATACATTGGACCCCCATAGGGATATCCATGCCACCTCTTAAGAAAATATGTCAATGTTTGACCTCCACATGGAGATCCTTTTCACCGTCTAGAGAAATATGAAGAAGTTATATGTGGAAAAATAGGGTCATCTAAATGCCTCAATTGAAGGACTTAAAGTCTCAACAAATCAGCTCATCCAAGTATTTCACTTGAGGGAATCGACCTAGAGTCTCATCAAGAAACCTCATCTAAACACCTTGCTTGAGGGACTTAGAGTCTCATCATGCATGATCATATAAAAGCCTCATCTGAGGGACTTAAAGTCTTATTAAACAAGCTAATTCAAGTATCTCATCTGAGGGACTGGACTTAGAGTCTCATCGGGAAGCCTCATTTAAACTCCTCACCTGAGAGACTTAGAGTCTCGTCAGATATGCTCATCTAAACGCCTCACTAAGAAACTTAGTGTCCCATTGGACAAGCTCATCTAAATTCCTCGCCCGAGGGACATAGAGTCACCTCAAACAACATGCTCATTCAAGTGTCTCGTATGAGGGGCTCAACTTTGAGTCTCGTCAGGCATGCTCATTTAAATTACTCACTTGAAGGACTTAGAGAGTCGTCAAAAAGGATCATTTAAATGCCTCAGTTGAGGGGCTTAGAGTCTCATAAGACAAGATCATCTAAGTGTCTTGCATGAGGGACTCTTAGAGTCTTATTAGGCAGGCTCATCTAAATGCCTCACTTGAGGGACTTAGAGTCTCATCAGACAGGCTCATTTAAACGCCTTCTATGATGGACTTAGAGTCTCCTTAAATAGGCTCATCTAAACTCCTTTCCAGAGGGACTTAGAGCCTCCTCATACAGACTCTTCGAAGTGTCTCGCCTAATGGATTTGACTTATAATATCACCATACAGGCTCATCTAAAGGCCTAGCTAGAGGGACTTAGAGTCTTATTAAATAGGATCATCTAAATGCCTTACCTAGGACTTATAGTCTCATCAAACAAGTTCATACAATTGTCTCGCCTAAAGGACTCGACTTAGAGTCTCATTAGGAAGGATCATCTAAGCGCTTTGCATGAGGGACTTAGAGTTTCATCATACATATTTATCTTAACGCCTCTCGTGAGGGAGTTAGATTCTTATCATACAAGCTCGTATAAGTGTCTTGCATGAAGGGCTTAGAGTCTCATCAGACAGACTTATCTAAACAACTCACTTGAGGGACTTAAAGTCTCCCTGGGCAGACTCGTCCCAGTGTCACGCCTAAGGGACTCGACTTAGAGTCTATTCTAGAATGCTCAACTAAATGCCTTACATATGGGACTTAGAGTATCATCATGCTTTCTAGTCTAAATACCTCACTTGAGGGACTTAGAGTCTTATCAGACAGGTACATCCAAGTGTCTAGCATGAGGTACTCGACTTAGAGTCTCATCAGACATGTTTATTTAAACGTCTCGTTTGAGGGTATTAGAATCTCATTATACAGGCTTATCTAAACACCCTGTATGATAGACTAAGAATCTCATCAGACAGGCTCATCTAAATGTCTCACCAGAGGGGCTTAAAGTCTCAATAGACAGGCTCATCCAAATGTCTCTCCTGAGGGACTCGAGTTAGAGTCTCCTCACACATGCTCATCTAAACGCCTTGCCTAAGAGACTTAGAGTCTCATCAGAGAGGCTCATCTAAACTCTTTATCTGAGAGGCTAAAAGTTTAATCAGGTATACTCATCTAAGCACATTGCCCACATGCATAGGCTCCACCAATGCAAACTATATAAAGCATATTTCCTTTTATCAAGCCCTTGTGCTTGAGTGATTGTGTAGTGATATATTTGTGAGGGTCTGCAAGGGACAGGGAGATCGTATCACCCACAAAGGGAGATATGATCATATCGCTCACAAGGGGATGACATCGCCCGCGACACACCGCACTCACACATGATAGAAAAATGTGGGAAGTGACGTGTCTTGATCATAGTTAATTCACAAAAGGAGTCATGGGAATAACTTATGTCTCCCTAGGAAATAGAGATTCAATAGTTCACTATCGTTACTAGGATGAGAGGTTGTTATTTCCAAGAAACCCAAAATCATGACCCATAGGCCTCTATACATACCTCAACCTTAGTGTTGAGAGGGACAATCTGATATCAACATAAAATACCCCATGTAATAGATCTTTTTACCCTTGCGGGCTTGCTCAATCCCCATAGAATACACCTCCAAAACAAGACTTCTCACCCTCGTGAGCTTGCCTTAAAAACCTCAAAATACTAAAGTTGCTAGCCATTCCTACCATCCTAAAGGTGTCACAAATATGTACTTCTTTTAAGCAAGTATAGTGATATAAATTACCCTTCAACTTAGTCACTATGGCCCTTACATAAAGAGATAATTACTTTAGTATCATCAAACATTGTCGGTAACAAGATACTTATAAACTATTTTAATTAGACATTCTATGAATCATGCAAAGGGACATGAGTTATATAATCTGAGTAATATCTACATATATCATGGTCAAGTATAACAGTAAAATATATGATCATGTTGAAATAAGTGAGCATAAAATAAAATATTAAATTTGTTTATTATTAAATACATTCGTATATTTTAAAAAATATAATATTGAATTATATATAGGACCATACATTAGATTCAATATAGATATAAAACAGAATAATAATTATACACATAATTATTATTATTTTTGAAAAGTTATGTTAGATCACATAATTTTCTTAATTTTTTTTAATAACATGTTGCTAAATATTACTTCCTTATTATTTATAGGAAAAAAGCTTATTTATTAGATTAATAGAATCAATAATATAGAGTAGATATATTAATTATTGAATAAATTTAAAAAATAAAATTTTCTTATAAATAGGAGTTCCCCAATAGAATATTAAAACATTACATTATGAATCTATAGGGTGATGGACACATGAACAAATTAGTGAGTTGAGACAGACATCTTAACTCCATCCATGGCTCTTATTCTGTCTCACCAGTCCCACCCTTTCAATAAATACCTCGTTCCTTCCTTCTTATTTTACATAGTTTCTATGACTATGGATCTTCATTTGAGTCTAGCTCTCTCAAATTCTCATGCTCACAACGCTGCTAGCAAGACTCACTTCCCTAATAACAAACCTAGTTTTCCTCAACTCTTGGAACATGCAGCAGAAACATCTAGTAGCACCAACGGATCAGATGTTATGCTTCCTACTCTTTCTCTCCTCCCATTAACTCCTGGCCATTCAGATCATCATGATCTTCAACACTGCATTCACACTTCCACTTCCACCATCACCAAGTAATATTAACTCATCATTATTAATTCATTACTATTTACACGTTCATGAGTTAACAAATATGTTATATGATTGATTTATAGGACTAGTAACGATGAGGATGATGAAGAAGTTCTTGTTGCGTCAAGGAATTACGTGAAGGTGAAGATGGAGGGTGTAGGAATAGCTAGAAAAGTTAATCTTAGCAGGCATAATTCATTTCACACTCTTAACCAAACTTTGTTGGACATGTTTGGAAAAAGTAAGTATATCTATATACTTTGTTTGTTCAAAGACCTAATTATATTTCCAAGTTCATTAATCAGTTGAGATATATACGTATGGATTTATTCATGTAGTTGGAAATTATTAACAGGTGATGATGATCAAAAATATGAACTGGTTTATCAAGACAAAGAAGGTGATTGGATTCTTGCTCAAGATGTTTCATGGAGGTAACTGTTAATTACTCGTTACATCAAAAAATATTTTTTAGGTTTTCTATGGGAGTTTGGAGTATAGGGTCGGGAAAATTTCCAAAAAAGAATTTTAAAAAAATATATATTAAAAAATATTAAAAAGAATTTTAAAAAAATATATATTAAAAAATATGTGACAATAATTATGTTAAGGATGGAGTAACACACAAGCACATCTATATTCTTATAGTTTTTATATATATTTTTAGTTTTTTTTAAAGGACTTGTAGTAATTTCTAACTATAGTAACTTGTGTTTTTTTGTTCTAGGTATTTCGTAGAGTGTGCCCAACGCCTTAAATTGCTCAAGAGCAGAGGATAACTCAACTCAAACCTTTGTTCATATTTTAATTGGAAACCTGTTTGGGTGTGTAATATATTATATAATTTAAAAAAAATTATTAACTTTCTCAATTTTTTAGATGTATTTTTTCAATTTCATTATTAATAAAATTATTTATTTATCTATCTCAATATAAGAGTAATTAATCATGATATGAGTAGTTGTCCTGTATGTAATCTTTGATTTTTCTAAAAACAAATTATTAGTAATTAATTGTCGGTATTATATTTACACTCTTGTTTGAATTTTTAACCTTAAATTTCTTTTAACCCTGCAAATTTAGTGATAATATCTAGTGTTAAAATAAAAATATTTAAATAATTCTTTTTAAATTATAGTAAAAATTTATTTTAAAATTAAATACAGAACTAATTTGACTATATTTTAGTTTTAAAGTTTAATTTCCAAATAAAAAATTTCAAATCATTATAAACGGAATCATAAATAATTATTCATATACTATTTATCTTTACCTCTAATTTCAAATAATATATTTATAAAAAAAAAAATTTAATTTATGATTATACTTGTATAACTAGATATTTTTTATTAATTATTATATGAATATATAATAGTATTCGAATATTCTAGATAATATAGTGGGGCATATGCCCCCATCCCAACACACATAGTTCAGTTCCTAACGGAAGGAGAATTGAGTTTTTTTTCTATAATTTTTAAAATTTGAATATTTTTAATTTTCTTTCATATTATTAATAAAATTGTTCCAAAATGGAAGTTAATAAATTATATTTTTAATATTACAGAAAATCAACCTAAGTTTACATCAAAATAGAATGAAATTTGAGAATTTAATTTTAACAAAAATAATTTAGTTGTTTTAAAGTATGATAAGATTTTAAAGGATCTGACAAAAATTAATTATATATTATAATTTTTTTTTAAATATCAAATCATAGCAATTAAAATATAACTTACGATTAAACAAATTATTGGAGAGTCTAAACACTATAAAATTTGTATATTAAAAAAAATTAAATACATTTTTTTAAAATTGTTGATATATATTAAAGACATTGATATATAAGTGTTTTATTTTGTTTAGTGTTGTAACTTGTAAGAATGTCTTTTTCTTTTTAACAATATAAAAATATTAGATTATGGAGAAAAATTTGGAGATCAATATATTTTTTTATAAGCAAATATATTATTTGAGTACAATGAGTACTAGCATTCATTAAAATTTAAAATTTTCATTACTTTGGAGACAAATCAAAGGGTTAGAACACCAAACCAAATATTTAAACTCAAATTTACTTATAACTTTTGCTATAAACCATGATGACCAAGCGAATAGTTTAATATTTTTGAGAACTTCCTCGACCTCCTTTGTAGTCCCCTTAAACAACACCTCATTCCTCATAAGCCACACACACTAACACGTCATTAACTATAATAAACTCCTTAAAATTTTCAGAGTCCTATATGTCATCAAAATTTCAAATTAGAAAAAGTATTATATCTCTATTTCAGCCATTGAACATGTTGCATCATGTTAGGGGAGAATTTTACTATAGAACATTGAACATTGTGAAATTTTTTTTTAGAGCAACATATTTGTAAGAGACACACCACATTCTCACCCAAAACTTTAAGGTGATAGGTGTGTAGGTTATCCACTTATAAATGCTCAAATCACCACTTTACTCTCCAATATGAGAATATTATCTACACTACTCACACTTGTTATAGTTAACACTCCCCCTCAAGTGTGAGTCTATCCACAATACTTCTACAATGCTCCCCCTTAAGCGGAAGCTTCAACTGTGCAACTGCACTTTCTCACCTTTGTACCGTCGTTGACCCTCTTTAACGGGGCACTAAACCCCCGACATGTGGGGATACTTTCGATACAAGTGAGTCGGTCCTTCACTCGAACCAAAGGCTCATTATACCATTTTTTAGCGCAACAATTGGGGTTCGAACGAGGAGCATTCTAAACGGTGGGACATCCTTCTTAGAGAAACACCATTTTTTAGCGCAACAATTGGGGTTCGAACGAGGAGCATTCTAAACGGTGGGACATCCTTCTTAGAGCAACACGCCTTTGTGAGAGACACACCACATATTCACCCAAAAACCTTAAGATGATAGGTGTCTGGATTCTCTCACTTATAAATGCTCAAGTCACCATATTCTTATCTAATGTGGGACTATTTTCCATACTACTCAGACTTGTAATTATTTTTCAACACAACTCATACTTGTTTCTCAACAATCTCCCCCCTCAAGTGTGATTCCATCCACTATACTTCCCCTCAAGCGGAAGCTCTTTCATCCACATACTTGTATCGCCGTTGAGAAACACCCTTTATCTCATCATGGGAACTTCAATAGGACACGTCGCCTGAGCACCAAGAAGCAGGTCCCTTACTCTAATCGGGCTCTGATACCACTGTTAGGGGAGATTTTCACTAGAGAGTATTGAACATTGTGGGACTTTTCTTGGGTCAAACACTCACCTAAAGGTCAAAGACTCACCCAAACAAGTGAGAGACACACCACATATTCACCCAAAACCTTAAGGTGATAGGTGTGTGGGTTCTCCCACTTATAAATGCTCAAATCACTACATTCATATCCAATATGTGACTATTATCCACACTACTCACACTTGTTATACTTAACACATTAATCCATTTGTACACCATCCTCCACACCTGTATAAGAAACATGCATAAGAAAAATAAGTGTGATACAGACTCCTCTTCTTTAAAACATAACGTACACACTAAATTATGATTTCTGCTTACTACTTCTCTTTTAGATAATTCAAATTTGGTTGGGAGTTTATCAAGTATCCATCACCAATAAAACACTTGTATCTTGGATGAAACATTTATTTTCCATATTTCGTGTAAGGCCCTCATAGTTACTTCATCCATGTTTATACCTACATCAACACATTCAAACAAAAGCATATAACATGTTTTTATAGAGAATCCCTTCAAACTATCATGCAACCACACAAAACTATCATTGATTTCCCTTCTTGATTCAATGTTGATTAGTATGAGTTGCATATCCTCCAGATGATTTTTTATTTCCTATGTGAGCATATTTTATGGAATTCAGGAGTCTCACACCCAATTATTGGCCATCAAACATTCCATTTTTGGAGTTTCTCATCATTGTCTTAATTTGTAGACAATGTTTTTTGAGAACCAATTCTAGATCTCCATAAAAGATATTCCTAGTGCCATTAAATCTCTCCACCACCACAAATTTTTTGTATCACTTATTGTTACATTATTTAGTAGAATTCTTGACTTTATATTACCATACATATGTAATAATATTCCTGCCCATATAATTCCTTGATCATTAAGGATCTGCTATTTCCATTTACTTATTTGAGGATTTATAGAATGATAAGAAATACATTGGTATGCTGCTAAGGACGAAGTTCAACATCACTACTCTGCCACCAATTGATAGGTACCTCCCTTTCTACGAAGATATTCTACATTAAAGCTTTCCAAAAATTGAATTCCATGTTGTACCTCTCCATGGGTATGCGTCCACGGGTATGCCTAGGAATTAGAATGGTAACGAGTTCATACAACATGACAAAAAATTAGATGTCGCTTACATAAAGTTCTTCTTTAAGTTTAATCCAAACAACTTACTCTTATAGAAGTTAACACGTAAACTTGAAACCAGTTCAAAACCACAAAGTAATGTGTAATACTTCATAAATTTATCCATGATTCTTTCCCAACCATGATTATATCATCCAAAAACTATAAAATTTTGAAATTTATTTCTTCACTAACTTCAAAGCCATGGAATTCTTTCATATGAACCACATTACAAACTAGACTCGTCAAACCTTCTACCGCTAAAAGGAATAAAAATTGAGAAATCGGATTTGCCTGCCTCTCTGCACGCCCTACATGGAAATCCTATGTTAGAATTGCATTAGCAAGAATTGACATACTACTTGTGAATATACATACCACCATCCAATTCATCCATTTAGAACCAAAACCCATTCTTCTTATAACATATCTTAGATAGTTCTAGCTAACGTAATCATATGCCTTATGGAAATTAACCTTTAGCATTATAAACTCTTTCTTTTTCCTCTTTGATAAATCCAATAAGTCATTGACCACTAACATTACCATCAAGAATTTGATTGTTTGGTACAAAAGCGGATTGGCCTACTGAGATTTTCTTTCTAACAACCTTCTTTAATATAGCAACAAGAATTTTTTAGATGATTTTATAAAGACATCCAATTAACCAAATAGGTTTATATTCTCTCAGCCTTTGAAGGTTTTTTGCTTTCCAAAGACCTTCTTCAATCAATGTCAAGAAAGTTACAGTGATGGCCTTCTTTCAATCTTTCAATTCTGGATCAATCCTTTAGATAATAAAAAATGGTTCAGAATTTTGTATTTTTAACCTGCATGCGTTGACGCATCCTAGGCTTAGGTCGACGCATCGCTGCGAAACTCAAATTTTCTCCTTGGAAAATGGAGTGCATATGTTTTTTCTTGGGAAATTATGATCATTCAATGTGATGTCCCATTTCAAATGTTCATTATCATAATCATTTGCATCTCTTCATCTTATTTCTCCTCTCCTACTCTCTAAAATCCTCTACAAACCCTAAAACTCATTTCTAAAACTTCATCAAGTCAGAAATTTCAAGATAACATAAGCTTGCTATTTGGGTTCTCATCATCAAACTCCACTCGGGTACTATTCACTACTCACAAAGTTAAAGCTTCCATGGCTTCTACAAGAGCAACGGGAAAGAGATTCACTAGAGCGTCCACCTCTCAGGCGTGTACTTCACAACCCCGATCTAACGTTCCGCCGATTGACAGGATTCTGTAATGGATTGTAGCTTACATTCTCCGTCCTAAGAAGGGAGGTTATTTGAGGGTTGACCAAGCTGAGGTGCATTTGGTCTATCTGTTGAAAAATAATATAAGAGTTCAAAGTGC